CCTGCATCGAGATCTCGGTAACGCAATGGAACGAGCTGCGACGAGTGAGCTATCTTTGAAGAAAAAACCACGTATTTCTGCTCAGGCGTATCAACGGCGGCTTGAGCCCATCAGAGACCACGTCCGCAACATACAAAAAGTTCAGCTAGCAACGGATTGTTCAACTTTTTATAATACAGCCTGAAAGTTCTGCCATGATGGGTTTCGGAGCTGCGCATAACAACGTGGATGTGACGATTCTTTTTAATCAACCACAAATGGCGTAAACTCCCTTGAATTCCCAATGACATAATTGTGGTAAAGCAGCAACATTAATAAATGGCAATACATACTGTTTCGTTACCGTTATCCTCATGTGGTAACAGGACTGTTACAATTACGTTATCCGGCTAAGAGGTAATAATTACACTGGAATTCACGTACCAACTAGCCCTGGTAGTTATTGTAAATCCCGAGATAACGTGTTCGGTTGCCATGGTCACAGAATAAGAGACGTGACAGAGGTTTTCACCAACGTGTCACTTGCTGCCTTATTCTCGCCGTCCGAACAGGACGGTGACCCGGCCGACAGAGGTTGCATAATGTTTATCCTTCACACAACATTGATGCGTCTCGGGCATCGCTGCACATTACAGCATACGGAGATCGCGTAAGACCGACGTCACACTCGTGTACGTATGCGACACATGAACACACGCACACATACGCATACAAGGAAAACGACTTATGAGCTGAGTAGAGGTGACAAAGGTTTTAAGATGAAGTAATATTTTTAGCAGAGGTCTGACCGTCTGAGCGCAGGTAAGCCTTGCTCAGGTACGGTAGATTGTTCACCGCATGTTCGGTCATCTTGACCGACGTCACACTCGTGTACGTATGCGACACATGAACACACGCACACATACGCATACAAGGAAAACGTCTTATGTGCTGAGTAGAGGTCACAAAGGTTTTAAGATGAAGTAATATTTTTAGCAGAGGTCTGACCGTCTGAGCGCAGGTAAGCCTTGCTCAGGTACGGTAGATTGTTATTTAGACGCTGACGCTAGCCTTAAGGTCGACGTTACGTTACTAGGTTGCGCGCCAAGGGGCTCGTTAGCTCTGCCGCGTTTATCTTCTTACCTTTCTGAAACACCTGAGAGTCTTTTGTAGAGATTCATGCCTAGACCTTATCTAGAAGCATGCCAGGAGGCTAGCGACCATCGTTTGTGGTGAAAAAATTCAACTGCATTCTGAGGCAAATGCATCCAAATGCATCGGGTTGACATTGCAATTTCGAAATTCCTACGATCACCTGATGGTGCATCTAGGAATCATGGCCCGTACGTTCTCGTGTTCCCTACTGTATAAACAACTTCGATCAGTCTTTGGCTGAATGTTACTACACACATAGCCATTAAAAATGATTCGTATGTTTTCCAAACCGGTAAAATTAAAAGTCCTTTTTAAAGTAAATATATTATACAGAGGTGTCCGTTGAAATCTAATGACTGTAAATTAAATTATAAATTACTGCAAGAATTACCGTGTATGTCAATATTATTTGTGCATTTAGGCCAATTTGAGCAATCTCCTTTATTTAGATTCAAAGTAGGAAACCCTTCTATTACAAAGGCGATGTTCTTGGCTGTATCATTTTGGTGGTATTTTTTTTACCATTTCGGTAGACACTTTTCATTTCAGTGGACTCCCGAAAACTTATCCTTAAATATTTCAGTAAGTGGTGAAATATATTTTCTTTTTTTATTTTGCACCTTTAATTGCATTTTGTGCAAAAACTATAGGAGATACGCGAAAGTATATTGATACCTTTTTTGTAGAAAATTAAACTTTCTACAACTTTGTACTGGGATTTTTTTCTATTTTCCCAGCCAGTCGCGAGATATTGACGAAAAACTCGTTTTTGCACCATTTCGCATTTTTTGCACCCTTTGCCGTCAATGCAGCACCCTGGAATTTTAGTATGTTAATCTACGAACCCTTACGGAAATTTTCGCGTTGATTGCAGGTGATCAATTCAAAATGGCAAAGTTAAGCTTTCATTGACTGGACTATAGGGTAGTAGTAGTGGAGGTGCAGCATGCCATAGAGCAACGCGGCCGACGCGACCAAGGAGGGGAGTAGGCATTCTCAGCGTTTCCCTCTGTCGATTTTCCTCCGCTGTTAGGCCAACTCACGAACAAAACTAGTTAAACTATTATATATTTTTTATTACTTTACTAGACCCAATCAAGTCGCGCGGGTGTATGTTAGAGATCAAAAATGAAAAAATGTATTGTAATTTCCTGTAAAATATATCTGGAACATGAAACTTATAAAAGGATAATGTTAAATTTCACAAATAAGTAGAATTCTAACATATTATTTCTATTTAACCACTTTTAAACACAAAATTCATTCATATATGCTTTTGTTAAAATTCAATCGTCAGACTTGTTTGACAAAACATTCGACTCGCCAGTACAAATTTCAGATCTGTCAATAAAAAATCTTAAGTTTCTCTTCTCTTAAATCTTAATCTATGCAATAGCATAGATTTTATCGCGGGCTTTGAGCGCGGTGACCGAATCAAGAAATAACGTAACAAAAATAACCCTGACAACAGTGCATATGAACACAATTTTCGCCTTTACAAAATCGGCCGCAACGGCGCAGTGAGTTAAATTTTTGCCACGGGACCAACGTCCGACACATCACCGCGGTCGTAGGTTCAAATCCCGCACTCGTATTTTTAAGCTTTTGTATAGCTTTTATCGCGGGCTTGGAACACGGGGACCGAAACAAAAAAAATCTGTAACGAAAAAACCTAGCGAGAGTGCATATACCAATAGAACATAATTTTCGCCATATTAATATCTGTCTAACCGGTGCAGTGTGTTAAATTTTTGCCACGGGACTAACGTTCGACGCATCACCGCGGTCGTCGGTTCAAATCCCGCACTCGTATTTTTTATTTTTAATTATATTTTTTTTTAATTTTTTTATATATTTGTTTTAGACCCCAGCACCTGTTCTTATTTTTATTTGTCTCCCTTTTATTTAGACTTTATAATTATAATTTAATTTTGTAGACTAAAGATGGCAAACTGTGGAGCTTGTGGAAGTTTTTTGGCGCCGGGCAATGCTGTATTTTGCTGTGCTTGCCCACTAAAATATTATAAGGCCTACCTCGCCATCTATTAATATCAAAGAAAAAACTTGAATTGATATCAAAGAAAAAAAACTGCATAAATAAAATAAATAAATAATTATAATTGCATAAGTTGATAAATAATGCTATGCAATAGCTTTACCGCGGCAGTCCCCGAGTGCCACACGTATTTTTATTTTTTTTAATAATCTATAATAGGTAGATTAATTTTCAATGCCCTTTCAATTCGTGAAGATCACAAGATCTGTTTTTTTAAACACATTCAAGTGTTAATTCCACGTAAAATGAAGTCTAAATGATATCAGCTCCTCTTGAGTTTAGTGGCTAGGACTATTGTCAGGCAGCACTGGTAGAAGCTATGCGATATTGCATACAGCAGCTCCTCTTGCTCCGTGGTAGGTATCAATTTAAACTTTAAATTATAACATGACATATCTACACCGATTGGTAGTGATTTACAAATAAAAACTTTATTTACAAAATTAAGTTGCCGAATAGCAAAAATTAATAAACCTATTTTATCTTGTCAATTTTACCAACCCAAGTAGTAAATGGGAAGTCAGATCTATCGGGCATGCATGGCACCGACTCCAAATATTAAATTAACTTAAGATAAATATGTTTTTTTTATTTTTTGCTTTTCGGCGGTTTCATTTTTTCGGTTTTTGGGGCTATAATTTTCATAATAGATATACAACTGAGCATCAAAATCTGTGAGTACCTCTATTTTCCCACCCTTAGGGTAAGATTTTTGTTTCCAAATTAATCTTGGTCCAACTTTGAGGTTCAACCCTATAAAATGGAATATTTCTACGAACTTAAATTATTTTTAACTATTTAGTTCTTTTTTTAAACTATCATAACGGCTTGTTTTAAAAAAAAAGGGTACCCTTAGATCATTTATTTATTTAAAATTAGTAGTTCATTAATTAATTTCATGAAATGTTGGTACTTATATCTAGGTTCCTTTTAAAGTTCTTGATCAATGGAGATATAAGCTTTCTGTGAAACAGACGGAGAGAAGAATAGCGGGAATCTAGTAATACATAGCCTCCTGTCGCACTGACCCTCGGGCTGCAGAAAAGTAAATTCTTTCGTACTGACCCTTGGGTGCCGAAAATTAATTGCTTGTAACAGAATATTAGGCACTCCTTTTTTAAAGAAACGACTTACTGATCCAAGTCTATGTTCTTAATAAACTACTCATCTGATCATTAGTAAAATCTTTATATATATAATTCTTCTGTGAGTTCGAGACTGGACCGATTTTGATGAAATTTTTTGTGTGTGTTCAAGGGGATCTGAGAATGGTTTAGATTCACAATTTTGTCCGCTGGACAATGTTTTTTTAATTAATTTTTTTTAAAGCGGTACGAAGTTCGCTGGGTCAGCTAGTCTTTATATATATAATTCTTCTGTGAGTGTGTATGTCACTGAACTTCTCTTAAACGACTGGACCGATTTTGATGAAATTTTTTGTGTGTGTTCAAGGGGATGTGAGAATGGTTTAGATTCACAATTTTGTCCGCTGGACAACCCCTATTTTTTAGGGCGGTACGAAGTTCGCTGGGTCAGCTAGTTTAGTTATAAAATAGTCCTCATTACCTACCCCTGACCTTAACAAAACCATATTTGATCTTAAAAACTTACGGCCAGTAACCACTAGTTAAAATATTTCGGTAGTTTGTATGTACTTACTAAGTTACCTAACAATTACCTATTTGCGCCTTTTATTAAAATAATAAAAACTACGTATTTTAAAAAACTAATAAATGGCCCAAATTTCAGAAAATTGTGTATGCTCTTTCTGTCCAAAAAACGAGCTTGATAATTTAAATTTTACTTTCAGATCACAAGGACAAACTGCAGGGCATCTAGCATGCTTTTGTTCCCACGAAAATACAGTCCGACGTAACACTTTCAATAAGCGACATACGGGAGAAGCTTTAATAGTAGACGATAGTCCCATTTTTTATGAACCACTAGAATTGTCTCCTTACAGTGTATCCTTTTTAGAACGACCGTTTTATTTACTAAATCCCACTTCATCGCTCAGTCAAAACCAAAAAAATCTTAAATTTAAGAAACTTAAAAGATCTAACAATCCTAATCAGTTTGATTTTGCAAATAGCAATCCAATAAGAAAATCAAAAGGAATGCCTCAAACATTAATCTCATCAACCGAAATTGTCCCTCTTTACTTGGACATAGATGTTAATACAAATGATATGCAACGATCTTCAGATTTAATAACAAAAGACATTGAAAACGTCGAAGAGTTAGAAAATAATTTGATGGATTGTATAAATTTACATATACTCATCGATTTGGAAAAAGATGATAAGTATATTATTAACTCTAAATACATAAAAAAAGACCAAGTTAAAAAATATCTTGGTCTTTCAGATTCAGAACTAATGGTTGAAATTCGAAACAAGTGTGCTCAGCCAAACCAAATAATTGAAACTAATCTTAAAGACATAAAAAAAATCTTGACAAAAAAATCTTTAGGTGAGCGCAGATATAAAGAAAAGGAAACAAACGCGAATAATGAAAATGGTTCTCACATACGTGAACACCCTATGGTTCCATCGACCAGAAGTGAAAACGTAAAGTCATCTCCAAACAGCTTTAATAATGAAGAAAAAAAAGGATTATATGATGCTATAATAGATCAATATAATCAAAACGGTATAATTCCAGTACCAGATGATCAATTGGTTAAACTGTTATTAAATAAAACAGATCAGCCACTCAAAACAACTGAATATGGGGAAGAAGATAACAACGTCATAACTACTTCTTCCATATCACCCGTAGAAGAAATACACAACTTATCTCACACAAACTCTTCCCATTTTTCAGGAAACATAATATTAGATTATAATAATACACAAATCAACATAACAAATGAATTAAGTACTTCAAGTGCTAATGGGAACTCAGATTTTTTTATTCCACAGGACACTAAGGAAAAAGTTTTAGATTTTAGTAATGAACTACACAATAAAACATTCCTAATGTTAAAGGAGAGTAGTAATGAGACAATATTTCAAAATACTAATCAGCACCTGGACCCAGATTCAAAAATACCAAATTTAAATAAAATGTCATCCATTCAACCGATAGGGGAACTAACGTCCTCAAATGATAGCCCATACTCAACCAGCACAGAAAATTATTTTGACTTAGGTACAAAGCAAAATATTGATGCTGATAGTGATTCAAATGTGCAAAATCTGGTAGCAGATTTAGGTTACGTCGAAAGTCAGAAAAAGTCACCGAACTTAAATAATGGAAAGTCTGAAATTAAGGTAAAGACCTCTAAAAATAATTTCCAGAATCTAGAAAGTACACAATCATCGTCAACACCGAAGGTAATCCTTGACAGTAACACTCTTCGAGATTCAGTTCAGAATGATACAAGATCCATGGGATTGGAAAAGCTCTTTGCAAATGATCAAGTAACATCATCCACAGATGAATATATAACGAGAACGAAAACTGATAACTTTGTTACAAAACTGTTAATTAAACCTAATAATGCAACTCAAGAGAAACAAGAAAATACTGAAAATCTGAGCACCACACTTCCAATTATAACTCGGTTAATACTTGAAGAAAATGATATAAATATTACAAGAGTAAGTAGTCGAGAATTTAAAAATGATAGTTTAATAAGTGAAATACAGGGTACTGAGACATTACCAAATAATGATTTTGTGGGTATCAGTAAAGAAATACTAGAAAGCACCACAGACCAGAACATTTTTAAAATTAACAATCAAGATGTTGAACTAGCAAATTATAATTTGATGGATAATAATGAACCCGAAAGAACAACATTTCCCAGTGAATTCGATTTAAATAATCAAGGTATACTTGAATTACCAAATAATAAATTTAACGATAAAAATAAAGAAGAACTCAAACGAACTACAGATCCCGTCGACTATTCGGATGAGAACAAAGAAATCTTAGGAAATACCACAGATCGTACTATTTTAGAAATAAATAGTTCATATGGAATTGCCTTGGAAAATAATGACACTATAGGCAACAACACAAAATCACCGGAAATAATCACAGTTCGCATCAATTCCGGATCTAATAAACAGGATGTCATTGGATTAGAGAATAATGACCCTTTGAGTGGAAAAACAGGTACACCAGAAAATGCTCCACGTCGCTCAGATTTCAGTTCAAAAAATGGAGATATTGTTGGGAATCTCTACCTTCTTTTCCATGAACATTCTATACCGGCGAAATTTGTTCAGAATCAAGACGGGGAAATTAAATTTGGCATCGACGGCAAAACTTTATGTGATAAAATAGAAAATAAAGGTCTAAATGATTCATTAATTATTTCCGCGTTGTGTAAGTGCTCGAAGACCGATAAGTGTATGGAAAATGTCTTTACAGAAATTAGTTAAATAAATCTTATGCTTATCTGAATGTTCTCAGTTTCTTTTTACTCTTTTTAATAATATCCTGTATCCTAATGGAACCGAACTGAAACGCATACATAGCTAATCGGTGCCTGTTGCGCGCCTGCATAAGGCAGACTTACCCTACTACCTACCCGATTTAAAATTGGACATCAGTCCAATTTTCGTCTAAGCACGAACCAATAACGCATTCTACTAGTTTTCGAGTGCGAAATGTCATTGTCAAATGTGTACTGTACCCGAAACAAAATCGAATTCGTAACGTTTGCGAGTCCGAAATGTCACTGTCAAATCTGTACTGATTTTTAGTTCTAGTTACGTACCTTGTGCCGCTGCTGTTCAAGTTTCCATAGGTACCTACACAATTTGACAATGACATTTCGGTTTGCAAACTATTCGAATTCGATAATGGTTCGTGCTAGGGGTACTCATTTCTTACAGCAGCAGTGCCACAACGTAAGCAACGAGGATTAAAAGTCAGTACACATATGAAGTATAACTACATCGAATTCAACAATTCGAATTCGATAATGGTACTTGCTAAGGGTACTTGACCCTTAACACCAACCATTATCGAATTCGAATAGTTGACAGCGATGTCAATAAAGGAGACCCGGCACTTTTCATAGAAAAAATGCTAAACTTGTATACAGTTGAATTTGGTCTCAAAATGAAGCCATAATTTTTTGCTACATAAAACTACTTTTGCCTTATTTTTAGTGAATCGTGGAAAGAAGTTATTTAATGATTAATATTTTTTGATATAGAAACCCTTTTGATTACAAACCTACGTATTTGACATTGACAGCTAGCTGCTGATGACAAATATTGCCAGACTACGTTACCCAATTATGAAACACAGATAAAAAAATTAAAAAAGTATACAACTTTGGCACAAAATGCCGGGTGTCCTTTATTATTCATTCATTCATGTCATCATAAATGTTATTGTCAAATTTAGTATGGAAACACAAAGTCGTGACATGAATGTTTGAGTAACTAACATTATTCATGTGTCTGGCAACACCAAACTTGTGTACATCAGCTGTCATCGAGTTAAAGTAAATCGGAGTGGCACGCGGGAAGGGATTTTTAAAGTTTTCCAGCGATTTTTCGAAGACTACCAAGCTGGACGAATTTTGTGGGATTTGGACGATGTTTATGGGCGAACAGCATCTATGACGGTTATGTAATCGTGTAACTATTTATTTGTAATCTGCCTGAAGTTACAAATTTACTCAGTTTACGATTTTGAGACCAAAAAAGGCATTGTTTACATTGCATATTTTTAAGTTAGATTGACATTGTAAATAGGTAATATTGTAGTACGACCATTTCTTTTGATACGTTATTATGGTTCAAGTCGGTCAGGTTTTCTACCAATTTTGAATTAATTGCTTTATGTCAATAAGTTATTGTTTCTATTCCGTTACATATTTTTTTACTTTTTTTCAGGGAAATCAGAGAGTCGGATAGTCAACGAAGGTTTTAAGAATGATGGAAAGTTTGAAACTCCTGGGAAAACAGGCAAGGCCGACCAGAGAAAGGGTCACATAAAGAACCATGGCCAGATGCTTTTAGTGAAGATTCCTATAACTAATTTTACTAACTGCACATTTATAAATTGTTTCTCTAAATAAACTTTTTATATACTATAAAATGATTTTTAGTATTATTTTCTTAACAAGTGTGTTAAAAAACGTCGTATGATGATACTTGTGTGTATTGATGATTACCTAACGACTCTGGTCTCAATGGCACATCAGCGGTAATCACCAACATTACAAAGATGATACAAGAAAGGCTCGATAATTTATCGATATTGTACATAGAGTCCGATATGTTAAAACGTTAGACGTTAATACTATCTTGCGTGAATTCAATGCTCGGAAAATCCGCAAGGCGCATTTCAATAAATAAATAAATTATGCTTTGGTTTTTATTGTTGTCGCACCTACCCCGCCTATAAATTACGTGACATCTCATCATCTTATTTTACAAAAAACTAATGTTTTTAGGCGGTAAAGGTTTAAGACCGATTCTAGTCGATATACGGATAGGGGGGCCCACAGGCATGGATTGCTTAGGCCATTAAGTAGTCTTAATCCGTCACTGGCCAAAAGTAACCCAAAACCAAGAAGCTTATATACAACACTGGAGATTGCAGTGCAAACAATACATTGAAGTGAAAAAATATGGCCTTGAATGACGTCACATATGTTTGTTATCTCTTTCTAAGGGTGACCATGTTGGAATATACGTTTAGGATACATACTTACTGGTATCGTCTTTAAACAATTTATAAATCAAAGCGTTGGAGTTGATAGGAACTTGGGAACACATTATTTAATAGTAATAAAATTCACAAGTACAAAAATCGTTTTATTCATATTAGATGCGTCTTATATTATGCCATGTCAAAAACATTTATAAAAAAATTAACGAGAAAGAATATGCAAACCCTTTTTAAAATCGCCAGAAATGCCTTTTACTAAGAACGGACTAGAATCTCTAAGCTACATATTTTGGCTGATAAATAAAATTGACCTTTTTTTTAATGGTATTGTTACGTGTCGGGATGGGGTTCGAAATTATATGCCAGTTCACGATTGACAGTTCTTTATTCACCACACAGTTCACACAATTAACACAAATTGTTAATTACAAAACACTCACTAAACACTGTATTTCACTATACAAGTCTCTAAACAATCTCACTTGAACACTTTTGTTGCACTTTGATCGCCTTTGGATTCGCTCCGAAATCGCTGTTGAAACTCAACTGTCTCTGCGCGGCGCCAATCGCCCTTATATACGCCGATCGATGCATTCTAGAAAGTAAATAAATAAATAAATATTTCCAACACTCAAACCAATTAGCCTAGCCCCAAAGTAAGTACTATAAGGCTTGTGTTATGGGATACTAGGGTAACGGATAGAATACATAAACTGAACTTATATATATAAGTATATTTTTTTTTATAGAAATACATATTAAACATCCATGATTGGAGTACAAATGCTCGTATTCATCACACAAACATCTGTCCCCACCGGGATTTGAACCCGGGACCTCTCGAGTCGGCGACACCATGAAACCCGGCGTACAAACCACTCGACCACGGAGGTCGTCGAAAGTCGAAGTTCTAGAAAGTACCTGTTAAATTGAGAATTACCTAGCACCCGCGAGTACGAAATACCTACTTATACCTACGCAAGTAACACGCATAACTTGTAAAGAAGTGCAGATATCGTTGCACTTTCTCCTTTACGTCGCACTGCATAAGGCTCATTTTAGAATGAGCCGCCTTACTCGACTTCTATTGCGACCCGCGGTGCTCTGGCTAATTCGATCTCTAGCACATTCGCGGTTCCGTTTCGAGAGCGTTTGTGACAGTATAATGGACAACCAAGAATTTCTTTTAATGATATCTTTCGGGAAGCTGAAACATAAACAAAGGTATAAGACCGCTGCTAGATAGCTGTTATTAAATAGGTTTTCTACATCTAATCAACATGATCTACTACAGTATTTATTATAAACTTATTTTCATATTTTGAACTTTATAATTACTATTTACAATAATACTTATGTATTTTAACTTTCTCAAAATATCTCAAGTGTAGTGATAATGGTTACCCTACAAAACCAAAATTTATATTATTTTAATTTAATAAACTGCTGAATATGGTACCAAATGTAGTGAATAAAACAAGAATAACGTTAATTTATAGCCTCAGGACACTATGATTTATAAATACTAACGTTTTATTATGATTACAACATAAAAATATAGGAATATGTTTATTTCGGTATTGGCGTAATGTAATAGACTTACCTGTGAAATTTAGTGCTGGAATTTGGTTCCCAAACACTTCTGCAATCTCACACAACACAATACATATTATAAATAGCAAATTGAACAATTTAACACTTTTTAATAATAATCTAAACATTCGAAGCGGTAGATTTTTTTTGACAGATCGGAGATATTCTTCAGTTGATTTTTTAATTAGTGTTGCTATTATACCAAAATGGTAGCAACCAGCAAACAGGGAAATAAAGGGCGTATTTATTATTTAGTTTTAAATATTGATTTCAAAGTAGTTGGTTAGAATTTGTCACACTCATCTTATAATAGTAATACAAGAGTAGGACTTCTGGAGATTGTAAAACTGATTGATATCTTGCATAGTTCTGTTTATTTTCACTTTCTGATTGGAATTTCTTGTATTTAACATGGTAATTTCAGATAGTGTGTGAGAGAGATAAAAAACATATCATGGGGTTAATGAACTCATCTTCATACAGAAGTTCTACATGCAATCTCCAGTGTTGTATATAAGCTTCTTGCCCAAAACTTTACCTAAGTAATGTTTTGGCAACGCTACGTCAGAAGGCATCGTATCCACATCGTATCATGAATACACAACAACCGTCACAACACAACATGAATATAGTCTATGAACACGACAGATAGTTAGTATAGTTCTGCCTTTAGTATTTAAAGACTGACAGAGTGAGGAAAAGAGATACCATATCCTAACGACCTTTAATCTAATAATATTTTCATAGTATATTTTCAGCAAAACCCAACAACATCCTGTCAAGCAGTACTGTGATAAAGTTTACAAATACTGTGAAACTAAGAAAATTCAGTTCGTGTTATGGTATAGGTTCTAAGACTTCTAAGCAAATCTTGACAAAACGACACTATCACTCACAATCAAACAACACATGCACAATTAAAGTTTTGGTACGCTTGCGATATGTACTCTACCTATCTTTACATTCTCTAACTATGCTTGTAATGGGTTCTTTAGCGTAGCGAAGCATGATTCCACGTCCAAGGATGTTCCAAAGCTATATAGTATACCTAGTCTGAACGCACCTTTATAGTCTATTCCCACACACACCACACCTATGTCTATGCTCAGAGAAAGCGCGGGAGCACTTGTAGATAACGGCCGCCCTTTTTATTATTTGACGATATTGTATAATTTTCCTGATAAATAGGATTAAATTTGTATTATATTGTATATTTATTGCAAGTTTGTATATATAGTTAATTAATTATTCCATTGCAACAATCTTCTGGTGAGTTTTTCATCTCTTTTGACTCCATTCAAAATGCCGAAGAAGAGGAAAAAAGCAGACGCTGCTGGCACACCTACGCTAGTAGAATCAGACACCAGCGACTCCGAATACATGTCGCCAGACGTCGACGACGAG